TGTTTTGTCTTCCTCGTAAATATCACTCCGCCTTCGTCCATTTCTTGGTAGAACCCTCCATTGTTGCAGACCCTCTAGGAAGTATTGGTAATGTCAACACAAGCACATGTTCTGCTTCTTGTTTCCCTATATTTAGCATACTTAGCTTCGTCTTGTTAAAATCGAGTTAGCGGGGCACTGGGGGCTCATAAGATTAATTCATGATAAAAATGTCACTTTTGGGCGGGGATCTCATTTGGAACTTGATGATTTGTGTGGTTATCAAAGCATATTTGCTCAATGCTGAATATAGTGGCTCCTGAAGACGGTAGAATCAAACTTGAATACAGAATAAAGGTCTTTATCACAAAAATGGCTTTCTTAAGACAAATTAAGTTAGACAATTCTAACTAATCCTGATGTAGGGGTCAAAAAAGTGCAAAATGTCAGAAATATTTTAATGAAAATAATGTGGTAATATTTATTGAACATGAAATATTACAATTACCAGGTTCTTATAAGTCTGTGTAAAACTGTAAATGGGCATTCTGTCGTCTGTTGTTGATCATCTATCCACCATGTGTACTCTCTGAAACTGGTATACCTCTGGCCTGGTATATTGGAAATTGATAAGTAGTACATCAGTCATGTCTGTTGAGTAGCTTATCCTATTACAATAAGAATAAGAGACTTTGAATAGGGGTCAAATGATGCAGTTCCTTCACAGTGAATTATCCATTTCACTCCAAGTAGCTTGGAAATTAATATGGAATTATCAGGTGCGTCCCAGTGCACGGAGGGTCTTGTACTGAGCTGGCCATTTCATAATAATGAATTAATGGAAAATTTTTATTCTGTTTAAAATGGCAGCAATCCAACAATAAATTCTTGTATTCCCCACAGTTTGAGTGCATATTATTGCTGGGTTTTTTTGTAGATCAATACAATGATTTAGACACCTCAGGAGTAAGATATTCACTTATTCCCTTGATCATCATCCAATTGCGAATAATTATTCTCATGATTTGACGTGTAAGAGCCATTTCACTATGAAAAATACTCACAAAAATAAGGAATTTACAGTATGTCCTTTTCCCTATCTTACTAGTACTGTTTTGACATGTTTTTAATGTGACATACTGTAAAAGCACAAATGTTCATGGTGGATTAAATTTTGTTGTTAACAATTATCAACGAAATTAATTCCCACACGAAATTTTATATAATATGACTATATATTGAATAGGATTACATTCAAAACAAAGAATTCAAATTTAATGCCAACGAAACTATTTTTGATGACAAATCAACAAAATTTTATCCCCACGAAAATAATTGCTTCTACAGTAGTTAATTTTATAGGGTATTGTAACTATTGTTTGTCTGTAGGTACAAGATGATGGACTTAGGTAGCCATGGTAACAATGCCAACGTAACGCTGGTCAAGCTCAACCTGGAGGGATTCGATGATGAAGCCTCAAAGGAGGGGATAGCCGTGGAACCGTCGTAAGTTTGTTAACATGTTGTTTATAATACATTTATTTGATAAACTTGTTTAAGTATGAATTTAAATGAACTGCTGATTCTTGTAATTTTGTAGGTTTTCCTCTGCAGATAACAGTTTGGTTCTACCCCCCACTATGTCTGATCTCCCCACAGGTAAATGTTACACCTGTTGACAGATAAATGTTACACCTGTTGACAGGTAAATGTTACACCTGTTGACAGGTAAATGTTACACCTATTGCTTGAATGGCCGTCTTAAAGTTTAAAGTTCATAATGCTCAGATACAGAGTAAGGATAATAAAATAATTGTGAAAACTTTTTTCTTGTTGCTTATATAAATAAACAATAGAAAGTGATATTGTTTATCTTGTTTGTTTTCAGTAGGACTTCAACCAACTTCAGAAGTGGATGGTTCAACCCCTACAGAGGTGAGCCAAGGTCAAGGTCAAATTGACATCACAGAGGTGAGTCAAGGTCAAATTGACATCACAGGGGTAAGTCAAGGTCTTTCTGACATCACACAGGTTAGTCAAGGTCAAGGTCTTTCTGACATCACACAGGTTTGTCAAGGTCAAATTGACAACATACAGGATAGTCAATGTCACACGGTTCTTTAAGTCAAGGTCAAGGTCTTTCTGACATCACAGAAGTGAGACAAGGTCAAATTGACATCAAAGAGATGAGTCAAGGTCAAGGTCTTTCTGACATCACACAGGTCAAATTGACATCACAGGGGTAAGTAATGGTTGTAAATGAAGCTGAGCAGTATGAAAAGGTAATTTTATAAAAATTTTGTAAATATTTTCAGGCAGTCGGTCATGACAGGCCAACCAATCATATCTTTAGGGACAGCCTCATAAGGCATTCATTTTATGTAAACCAGTAAACATCGTGTTAATCCACTGTCAGGAGTCCACATAGCTCTCTCCTACCCGTGGCTGCTTGATCACAAAAAGTGTCGTAATCTTGAATATTTATGCCTCTCTATACTCTTCTAATACAACCACAGTCAGAATGTGAGAGGACTGTATGTTTTGGCCCTGGTTTGCGACAATGCCCAGGCAGTAAAAGTTTTTTTTTTCATTACACAGAAGAAGAAAGGGGGCTGGCCTAAAGGAAAGAAGAGGAAGAAGATGAGAGATTCTAACGCTCCGAAGCCTGCACTGAACGGCTATCTACACTTCCTTAACGAGCGTCGAGAGATCCTACGACGAGAAAATCCCACCATGGCCTTCGCTGAAATGATCCGAGTGTTAGGCGCAGAGTGGACAAAGTTACCCCAGCACAAGAAACAGGTCAGTGTGGATGTATTGTAGTCAGTTTTGTGGTCATGATGTGTCCTTTGAAAATAGGTCAAGGTTAGTGTGGGTAAGGTGAGGAGACCACTTTACTTTTAAGCAGGCTGGGTCAAGGTCTATGTTAGACTATTTGATCTCTCCATTATATAAACATACAGATAGAAAATATCTTCAATTCTGTATGAAGTTTGTCAGAGGTCAGAGGTCAATAAGTGACCTAATCACACGGCACAATAATATCTACCGGTACATAAATGATAAAATGACCTGCTCTACTTGCTTTTCATGTATAAAAATCAACAAAATAAGCAAGTAAACTGATAATTTTTTTATTTAAAATGTAAACAAGTATTTCATACAGTTCTTAGGCTAACGATTCAACCTGTGTACATAGAGAAAAACTAGGTAGGAGCCTAGCGTTTGTTTACATTTTTCTTCACTTTTGTCTGCTGCACAGTCTCTAACGTTCATTCTTATTTTTTGGGTAGACCTTTGGTTAGAGTAAATTTTCATCATAAACTTTTATTTTATCTTTAAATTTTACTCACGATAAATGTGTAAATCTGTTGCAAATATCATTGCAATAGTGCCATGAACAGCTGCCAAACACCTCGGCGTTTTCATAGTTCAATGTAAAGCTGTCGCCAGTGCCTTTGTGTTTATCAATGTTTTACGATAAGTATGCCTTTAGTTACTGAAACTAGTGTTAAATCTAAAGCAAACTAGCATGGCGCGGCGCCATGCCCCTTTTTCTCGGCGCCATGCCCTTTTTTCCAGCACCATGCCCTTATTTCCTAACCCAAAATTAATAAATATGCCCAGTTTAGGCAATATTCCTTTGCTGTTCTGTTTATTCAGTGCATGCTGATAATCCCTTTGTTTACACAACGACAGGAAATCACTTCACGCTTGAACGCACCACACAGCCACCTGGCTAATTAACATGCCTCAGGCTGTCAGGGTAGAGGATATAACTTGAGAAACTGTCATTTGATTGCATTGATTATGCAAGAATAAGCCCAAGACCAAGGATAAATTAGCTTGTAAATTATTTACTAATTAAAATCAGGATCGTTTTTTAAACAGAAAGTAGAATAAAACACATCGTTGAACTTGAAGAAAAAACGGATATTTTATCTGAATAAAATACTTACAGTGCACCAAAAAAAACTGAATGTAATGTTATAAAAAGGCTTAAAAACAACAGTTTAGTTAGTTTCTTTGATTGAACTGATAGATTTGATCAGCTGAGGGTCAATGTTTCTAATTTAAGCCAGAGTTTTTTTTAACAAAATATATTGGGAGTAAGACCAGTTTTCACTTTATCCTGTTGGTAGAATATTTTCCAAGTAAATAGAATGGTCTCTACATGTATTTTTCAAAATGTCCCTCCCCCTCTTCCCTGAAAAAAGTATTATTAAATTGACTGTACTAGTACACAAATAACACAGTCCAAGTATGTAAAAAAACATACCTCCAAACTATAATAATTTTTGCATACGTTTCAGCTAGATTCATACCAATTACTTTTTCTAGTGTAACCTTACTAATTTTTTTATTAAAGAAATTGGATGTAAATACCTTTTTATATTCTTTTTGTTTCAATCATTGGCATGTCAGCCCAGGTGTGCTAATTGTGTTGGTACATGTATTCTTTTAAAAAATGAAAGGAATACAGATATATGAATTTATCTTTAAATTACCGGTACTTGTTGAAATAAAGATTTCAGTATGAAAGGATATTAAAGGTAATTAAACATGATAAAGTATGTAAAAATTAATGATTAATATAATCTTTATAAAGACATTTTAATACATTTGTTTTAAAAGTGCCCTCGTGAGATCCCATCGCGACACAAAGTGCCCTTTTGATTCCTTGATTACCATGCCCTTTTTAGGGTCTAGATTTAACACTATGAAACTGTAGAATGTTTTTGATCAAATTGCAAATTAACTGGCTCGGACAACTGTCTCAATCCATCGATTCCATCCATCCCTTTTCGGCGACCGAAATTCCTCCATCTTTTTATCATCAAACTTCGGACGTGTTTCTTGTGTCTTTTCAACATCGATTATCATTTTTCACGAATAAAAATATTCACAGAGAACATTCTTTTCACTATTACTGATCACAAGTACCATTTCACAAAATATTCCCTTCGAAATAGATTCCTTACCCTAATGCATTTGAAGAGTAACCGCCATGCAAGCTGATTTACACCTTGCATCATTTTTCAAAATCTACGACGGATGGTTAGTGCAATAATTTAAATTCGAAAATATACAATTGTTTGTCTCAAATGTATATATAAGTAATAAATAACAAGTTTATAAAGTTAACTTCAATGGGAATTGAAGTGGGTCGGTATGTGATCAAATCTTCTAAGAAGGCCTACGGCCTTCACAGGATTTGATCACGTGACCAACCCACTTCAGTTCCCATTAAAGTTTATAAACTTGTTATTTATTTCTTAATTAAAGCAGGAAAATTTTGGCTGTTTTTCTTTATTAAGTAGTTAATGATTACAAAAAAGATCATGTTGCATATTAATGGAGATCATGTTGCATTTTAATGGGGATCTTAAGCTAGCAAACACTGAAGAGCAACATTTATTTTTCTTCTTGAAAGAAACTGAGTAATTTCAATTTTACTGCGAGTTTCACTGTATTTGATAATACATGCTTTCTTGGAACTTCAAGTTACAATGATTTTGGCATTCCAGGTTTCATTATACTGTATATGCCATGATGTATTATTAGTTTACTGTAGACATGTTCAAGATTTAGATGTTGGTGTTTTATTATTAACTTTAGCTATATTTCTGTATTACGTACATATTAATATAAATCTGTACATTACAGAGATTCTTAGATGAGGCAGAGAAAGACAAGGAACGTTATAACCGAGAGATGGAAGCGTACCAGAAAACAGAGGCCTACAAACTGTTTAAATCCCAGAAGGAGAAGAAAATGAGAGGTTGGTATTAATACAGACCTTACCAGAAAACAGAGACCTACAAACTGTTTAAATCACAGAAAGAGAAGAAAATGAGAGGTAGGTATTAATACAGACCTTACCAGAAAACAGAGGTCTACAAACTGTTTAAATCCCAGAAAGAGAAGAAAATGAGAGGTAGGTATTAATACAGACCTTACCAGAAAACAGAGGCCTACAAACTGTTTAAATCACAGAAAGAGAAGAAAATGAGAGGTAGGTATTAATACAGACCTTACCAGAAAACAGAGGCCTACAAACTGTTTAAATCACAGAAAGAGAAGAAAATGAGAGGTAGGTATTAATACAGACAGAAAACAGAGACCTACAAACTGTTTAAATCACAGAAAGAGAAGAAAATGAGAGGTAGGTATTAATACAGACCTTACCAGAAAACAGAGACCTACAAACTGTTTAAATCCCAGAAAGAGAAGAAAATGAGAGGTAGGTATTAATACAGACCTTACCAGAAAACAGAGACCTACAAACTGTTTAAATCCCAGAAAGAGAAGAAAATGAGAGGTAGGTATTAATACAGACAGAAAACAGAGACCTACAAACTGTTTAAATCACAGAAAGAGAAGAAAATGAGAGGTAGGTATTAATACAGACCTTACCAGAAAACAGAGGCTTACAAACTGTTTATATCACAGAAAGAGAAGAAAATGAGAGGTAGGTATTAATACAGACCTTACCAGAAAACAGAGGTCTACAAACTGTTTAAATCCCAGAAAGAGAAGAAAATGAGAGGTAGGTATTAATACAGACCTTACCAGAAAACAGAGGCCTACAAACTGTTTAAATCCCAGAAAGAGAAGAAAATGAGAGGTAGGTATTAATACAGACCTTACCAGAAAACAGAGACCTACAAACTGTTTAAATCCCAGAAAGAGAAGAAAATGAGAGGTAGGTATTAATACAGACAGAAAACAGAGACCTACAAACTGTTTAAATCACAGAAAGAGAAGAAAATGAGAGGTAGGTATTAATACAGACCTTACCAGAAAACAGAGGCCTACAAACTGTTTAAATCACAGAAAGAGAAGAAAATGAGAGGTAGGTATTAATACAGACCTTACCAGAAAACAGAGGTCTACAAACTGTTTAAATCCCAGAAAGAGAAGAAAATGAGAGGTAGGTATTAATACAGACCTTACCAGAAAACAGAGGTCTACAAACTGTTTAAATCCCAGAAAGAGAAGAAAATGAGAGGTAGGTATTAATACAGACCTTACCAGAAAACAGAGACCTACAAACTGTTTAAATCACAGAAAGAGAAGAAAATGAGAAGTAGGTATTAATACAGACCTTACCAGAAAACAGAGGTCTACAAACTGTTTAAATCACAGAAAGAGAAGAAAATGAGAGGTAGGTATTAATACAGACCTTACCAGAAAACAGAGGTCTACAAACTGTTTAAATCACAGAAAGAGAAGAAAATGAGAGGTAGGTATTAATACAGACCTTACCAGAAAACAGAGGTCTACAAACTGTTTAAATCACAGAAAGAGAAGAAAATGAGAGGTAGGTATTAATACAGACAGAAAACAGAGGTCTACAAACTGTTTAAATCACAGAAAGAGAAGAAAATGAGAGGTAGGTATTAATACAGACAGAAAACAGAGGCCTACAAACTGTTTAAATCACAGAAAGAGAAGAAAATGAGGGGTAGGTATTAATACAGACCTTACCAGAAAACAGAGGTCTACAAACTGTTTAAATCACAGAAAGAGAAGAAAATGAGAGGTAGGTATTAATACAGACAGAAAACAGAGGTCTACAAACTGTTTAAATCACAGAAAGAGAAGAAAATGAGAGGTAGGTATTAATACAGACCTTACCAGAAAACAGAGGTCTACAAACTGTTTAAATCACAGACAGAGAAGAAAATGAGGGGTAGGTATTAATACAGACCTTACCAGAAAACAGAGGCCTACAAACTGTTTAAATCACAGAAAGAGAAGAAAATGAGAGGTAGGTATTAATACAGACAGAAAACAGAGACCTACAAACTGTTTAAATCACAGAAAGAGAAGAAAATGAGGGGTAGGTATTAATACAGACAGAAAACAGAGGTCTACAAACTGTTTAAATCACAGAAAGAGAAGAAAATGAGAGGTAGGTATTAATACAGACCTTACCAGAAAACAGAGACCTACAAACTGTTTAAATCACAGAAAGAGAAGAAAATGAGGGGTAGGTATTAATACAGACCTTACCAGAAAACAGAGGTCTACAAACTGTTTAAATCACAGAAAGAGAAGAAAATGAGAGGTAGGTATTAATACAGACAGAAAACAGAGACCTACAAACTGTTTAAATCCCAGAAAGAGAAGAAAATGAGGGGTAGGTATTAATACAGACCTTACCAGAAAACAGAGACCTACAAACTGTTTAAATCACAGAAAGAGAAGAAAATGAGAGGTAGGTATTAATACAGACAGAAAACAGAGGTCTACAAACTGTTTAAATCACAGAAAGAGAAGAAAATGAGGGGTAGGTATTAATACAGACCTTACCAGAAAACAGAGGTCTACAAACTGTTTAAATCACAGAAAGAGAAGAAAATGAGGGGTAGGTATTAATACAGACCTTACCAGAAAACAGAGGCCTACAAACTGTTTAAATCACAGAAAGAGAAGAAAATGAGAGGTAGGTATTAATACAGACAGAAAACAGAGGTCTACAAACTGTTTAAATCACAGGAAGAGAAGAAAATGAGAGGTAGATATTAATACAGACCTTACCAGAAAACAGAAGCCTACAAACTGTTTAAATCACAGAAAGAGAAGAAAATGAGGGGTAGGTATTAATACAGACCTTACCAGAAAACAGAGGCCTACAAACTGTTTAAATCACAGAAAGAGAAGAAAATGAGAGGTAGGTATTAATACAGACCTTACCAGAAAACAGAGACCTACAAACTGTTTAAATCACAGAAAGAGAAGAAAATGAGAGGTAGGTATTAATACAGACCTTACCAGAAAACAGAGGTCTACAAACTGTTTAAATCACAGAAAGAGAAGAAAATGAGAGGTAGGTATTAATACAGACCTTACCAGAAAACAGAGACCTACAAACTGTTTAAATCACAGAAAGAGAAGAAAATGAGAGGTAGGTATTAATACAGACCTTACCAGAAAACAGAGACCTACAAACTGTTTAAATCACAGAAAGAGAAGAAAATGAGAGGTAGGTATTAATACAGACCTTACCAGAAAACAGAGACCTACAAACTGTTTAAATCACAGAAAGAGAAGAAAATGAGAGGTAGGTATTAATACAGACCTTAGAAAACAGAGGTCTACAAACTGTTTAAATCACAGAAAGAGAAGAAAATGAGAGGTAGGTATTAATACAGACCTTACCAGAAAACAGAGGCCTACAAACTGTTTAAATCACAGAAAGAGAAGAAAATGAGGGGTAGGTATTAATACAGACCTTACCAGAAAACAGAGGTCTACAAACTGTTTAAATCACAGAAAGAGAAGAAAATGAGAGGTAGGTATTAATACAGACCTTACCAGAAAACAGAGGCCTACAAACTGTTTAAATCACAGAAAGAGAAGAGAAAATGAGGGGTAGGTATTAATACAGACAGAAAACAGAGACCTACAAACTGTTTAAATCACAGAAAGAGAGAAAATGAGGGGTAGGTATTAATACAGACAGAAGAAAACAGAGACCTACAAACTGTTTAAATCACAGAAAGAGAAGAAAATGAGGGGTAGGTATTAATACAGACCTTACCAGAAAACAGAGACCTACAAACTGTTTAAATCACAGAAAGAGAAGAAAATGAGAGGGGTAGGTATTAATACAGACAGAAAACAGAGACCTACAAACTGTTTAAATCCAAGAAAGAGAAGAAAATGAGAGGTAGGTATTAATACAGACAGAAAACAGAGGCCTACAAACTGTTTAAATCACAGAAAGAGAAGAAAATGAGAGGTAGGTATTAATACAGACCTTACAAGAAAACAGAGGTCTACAAACTGTTTAAATCACAGAAAGAGAAGAAAATGAGAGGTAGGTATTAATACAGACCTTACAAGAAAACAGAGACCTACAAACTGTTTAAATCACAGAAAGAGAAGAAAATGAGAGGTAGGTATTAATACAGACAGAAAACAGAGACCTACAAACTGTTTAAATCACAGAAAGAGAAGAAAATGAGGGGTAGGTATTAATACAGACCTTACCAGAAAACAGAGGCCTACAAACTGTTTAAATATCAGAAAGAGAAGAAAATGAGAGGTAGGTATTAATACAGACAGAAAACAGAGGTCTACAAACTGTTTAAATCACAGAAAGAGAAGAAAATGAGGGGTAGGTATTAATACAGACAGAAAAAACAGAGACCTACAAACTGTTTAAATCACAGAAAGAGAAGAAAATGAGAGGTAGGTATTAATACAGACCTTACCAGAAAACAGAGGCCTACAAACTGTTTAAATCACAGAAAGAGAAGAAAATGAGAGGGTAGGTATTAATACAGACAGAAAACAGAGACCTACAAACTGTTTAAATCACAGAAAGAGAAGAAAATGAGAGGTAGGTATTAATACAGACCTTACCAGAAAACAGAGACCTACAAACTGTTTAAATCACAGAAAGAGAAGAAAATGAGAGGTAGGTATTAATACAGACCTTACCAGAAAACAGAGGTCTACAAACTGTTTAAATCACAGAAAGAGAAGAAAATGAGAGGTAGGTATTAATACAGACAGAAAACAGAGGTCTACAAACTGTTTAAATCACAGAAAGAGAAGAAAATGAGAGGTAGGTATTAATACAGACCTTACCAGAAAACAGAGGCCTACAAACTGTTTAAATCACAGAAAGAGAAGAAAATGAGAGGTAGGTATTAATACAGACCTTACCAGAAAACAGAGGTCTACAAACTGTTTAAATCACAGAAAGAGAAGAAAATGAGAGGTAGGTATTAATACAGACCTAGAAAAACAGAGGCCTACAAACTGTTTAAATCACAGAAAGAGAAGAAAATGAGGGGTAGGTATTAATACAGACCTTAGAAAAACAGAGGCCTACAAACTGTTTAAATCACAGAAAGAGAAGAAAATGAGAGGTAGGTATTAATACAGACCTTACCAGAAAACAGAGGCCTACAAACTGTTTAAATCACAGAAAGAGAAGAAAATGAGAGGTAGGTATTAATACAGACAGAAAACAGAGGTCTACAAACTGTTTAAATCACAGAAAGAGAAGAAAATGAGAGGTAGGTATTAATACAGACAGAAAACAGAGACCTACAAACTGTTTAAATCACAGAAAGAGAAGAAAATGAGAGGTAGGTATTAATACAGACAGAAAACAGAGACCTACAAACTGTTTAAATCACAGAAAGAGAAGAAAATGAGAGGTAGGTATTAATACAGACAGAAAACAGAGACCTACAAACTGTTTAAATCACAGAAAGAGAAGAAAATGAGAGGTAGGTATTAATACAGACAGAAAACAGAGGCCTACAAACTGTTTAAATCACAGAAAGAGAAGAAAATGAGAGGTAGGTATTAATACAGACCTTACCAGAAAACAGAGACCTACAAACTGTTTAAATCACAGAAAGAGAAGAAAATGAGGGGTATTAATACAGACCTTACAGAAAACAGAGGCCTACAAACTGTTTAAATCACAGAAAAGAAAAGCATACAAAGTGAGACCTACAAATCCCAGAAAGAGAAGAAAATGAGAGGTAGGTATTAATACAGACCATATCAAAAACAGAGGTCTACAAACTGTTTAAATCACAGAAAGAGAAGAAAATGAGAGGTAGGTATTAATACAGACCTTACCAGAAAACAGAGGCCTACAAACTGTTTAAATCACAGAAAGAGAAGAAAATGAGGGGTAGGTATTAATACAGACAGAAAACAGAGACCTACAAACTGTTTGAATCACAGAAAGAGAAGAAAATGAGAGGTAGGTATTAATACAGACCTTACCAAAAACAGAGGCCTACAAACTGTTTAAATCACAGAAAGAGGAGAAAATGAGGGGTAGGTATTAATACAGACAGAAAACAGAGACCTACAAACTGTTTAAATCCCAGAAAGAGAAGAAAATGAGAGGTAGGTATTAATACAACAGAAAACAGAGGTCTACAAACTGTTTAAATCACAGAAAGAGAAGAAAATGAAGGTATTAATACAGACAGAAAACAGAGACCTACAAACTGTTTAAATCACAGAAAGAGATGAATCTGAGGTGTAGGTATTAATACAGACAGAAAACAGAGACCTACAAACTGTTTGAATCACAGAAAGAGAAGAAAATGAGAGGTAGGTATTAATACAGACCTTACCAGAAAACAGAGACCTACAAACTGTTTGAATCACAGAAAGAGAAGAAAATGAGAGGTAGGTATTAATACAGACCTTACCAGAAAACAGAGACCTACAAACTGTTTAAATCACAGAAAGAGAAGAAAATGAGAGGTAGGTATTAATACAGACCTTACCAGAAAACAGAGACCTACAAACTGTTTAAATCCCAGAAAGAGAAGAAAATGAGAGGTAGGTATTAATACAGACAGAAAACAGAGACCTACAAACTGTTTAAATCACAGAAAGAGAAGAAAATGAGAGGTAGGTATTAATACAGACCTTACCAGAAAACAGAGACCTACAAACTTTTTAAATCACAGAAAGAGAAGAAAATGAGAGGTAGGTATTAATACAACCTTACCAGAAAACAGAGACCTACAAACTGTTTAAATCCCAGAAAGAGAAGAAAATGAGCGGTAGGTAATAATACAGACCTTACCAGAAAACAGAGGTCTACAAACTGTTTAAATCACAGAAAGAGAAGAAAATGAGAGGTAGGTATTAATACAGACCTTACCAGAAAACAGAGACCTACAAACTGTTTAAATCCCAGAAAGAGAAGAAAATGAGGGGTAGGTATTAATACATACCTTACCAGAAAACAGAGGTCTACAAACTGTTTAAGTCACAGAAAGAGAAGAAAATGAGAGGGAGGTATTAATACAGACCTTACCAGAAAACAGAGACCTACAAACTGTTTCAATCACAGAAAGAGAAGAAAATGAGAGGTAGGTATTAATACTGAAATTACAAGAAAACAGAGGCCTACAAACTGTTTAAATCACAGAAAGAGAAGAAAATGAGAGGTAGGTATTAATACTGACCTTACCAAAAACAGAGGTCTACAAACTGTTTAAATCACAGAAAGAGAAGAAAATGAGAGGTAGGTATTAATACAGACCTTACCAGAAAACAGAGGCCTGCAAACTGTTTAAATCACAGAAAGAGAAGAAAATGAGAGGTAGGTATTAATACAGACCTTACCAGAAAACAGAGGCCTACAAACTGTTTAAATCACAGAAAGAGGAGAAAATGAGGGGTAGGTATTAATACAGACAGAAAACAGAGGTCTACAAACTGTTTGAATCACAGAAAGAGAAGAAAATGAGAGGTAGGTATTAATACAGACCTTACCAGAAAACAGAGGACTACAAACTGTTTAAATCACAGAAAGAGAAGAAAATGAGTGGTAGGTATTAATACAGACCTTACCAGAAAACAGAGACCTACAAACTGTTTAAATCCCAGAAAGAGAAGAAAATGAGAGGTAGGTATTAATACAGACCTTACCAGAAAACAGAGACCTACAAACTGTTTAAATCACAGAAAGAGAAGAAAATGAGAGGTAGGTATTAATACTGACCTTTCCAGAAAACAGAGGTCTACATACTGTTTAAATCACAGAAAGAGAAGAAAATGAGAGGTAGGTATTAATACTTTTTTACCAGAAAACAGAGACCTACAAACTGATTAAATCCCAGAAAGAGAAGAAAATGAGAGGTAGGTATTAATACAGACCTTACCAGAAAACAGAGACCTACAAACTGTTTATATCCCAGATTGAGAAGAAGATGAGAGGTAGGTATTAATACAGACCTTACCAGAAAACAGAGGTCTACAAACTGTTTAAATCCCAGAAAGAGAAGAAAATGAGAGGTAGGTATTAATACAGACCTTACCAGAAAACAGAGGTCTACAAACTGTTTAAATCACAGAAAGAGAAGAAAATGAGGGGTAGGTATTAATACAGACCTTACCAGAAAACAGAGACCTACAAACTGTTTAAATCACAGAAAGAGAAGAAAATGAGGGGTAGGTATTAATACAGACCTTACCAGAAAACAGAGGCCTACAAACTGTTTAAATCACAGAGAGAGAAGAAAATGAGGGGTAGGTATTAATACAGACCTTACCAGAAAACAGAGGCCTACAAACTGTTTAAATCCCAGAAAGAGAAGAAAATGAGAGGTAGGTATTAATACAGACCTTACCAGAAAACAGAGGCCTACAAACTGTTTAAATCACAGAAAGAGAAGAAAATGAGGGGTAGGTATTAATACAGACCTTACCAGAAAACAGAGGCCTACAAACTGTTTAAATCCCAGAAAGAGAAGAAAATGAGAGGTAGGTATTAATACAGACCTTACCAGAAAACAGAGACCTACAAACTGTTTAAATCACAGAAAGAGAAGAAAATGAGAGGTAGGTATTAATACAGACCTTACCAGAAAACAGAGGCCTACAAACTGTTTAAATCACAGAAAGAGAAGAAAATGAGAGGTAGGTATTAATACAGACCTTACCAGAAAACAGAGACCTACAAACTGTTTAAATCACAGTAAGAGAAGAAAATGAGGGGTAGGTATTAATACAGACCTTACCAGAAAACAGAGGCCTACAAACTGTTTAAATCACAGAAAGAGAAGAAAATGAGAAGTAGGTATTAATACAGACCTTACCAGAAAACAAAGGCCTACAAACTGTTTAAATCCCAGAAACAGAAGAAAATGATGGGTACGTATTAATAAATACCTTACCAGAAAACAGAGGTCTACAAACTGTTTAAATCACAGAAAGAGAAGAAAATGAGGAGTAGGTATTAATACAGACCTTACCAGAAAACAGAGACCTACAAACTGTTTAAATCACAGAAAGAGAAGAAAATGAGAGGTAGGTATTAATACAGACCTTACCAGAAAACAGAGGCCTACAAACTGTTTAAATCCCAGAAAGAGAAGAAAATGAGAGGTAGGTATTAATACAGACCTTACCAGAAAACAGAGACCTACAAACTGTTTAAATCACAGAAAGAGGAGAAAATGAGGGGTAGGTATTAATACAGACCTTACCAGAAAACAGAGGTCTACAAACTGTTTAAATCACAGAAAGAGAAGAAAATGAGAGGTAGGTATTAATACAGACCTTACCAGAAAACAGAGACCTACAAACTGTTTAAATCACAGAAAGAGAAGAAAATGAGGGGTAGGTATTAATACAGACCTTACCAGAAAACAGAGACCTACAAACTGTTTAAATCCCAGAAAGAGAAGAAAATGAGGGGTAGTTATGACTGTGAAATGGAAACGTATCAAAAACAAGAAGGTACAAATTGCTCAACTTCAAGATAGAAAAAAAATATAAAAGGTATAAACATTTATATTTTTCCCTGCACAGAATATCCTCCAAACGTCTGTATGATATGTCTACTTTTTGAAGCAATTTTCGTCCACTAATTTCTTGAGTAAGCAGTTGAAAAATAAAATAAATTGAAGAGTATTAGACAGAATACAAAACAAGTACATTTGTGCCATACCGCTAAATTCTACTTTGTGATTTCAGAAATGGAAGCCCAAGGCAGTTCATTAGAGGTAGAACAATTTAATTTAAGATAAAAAAAAAATTTCCACTGTTAATAACATTTATTCAATTTATAGTTCAGGTCAGAAATAAAGAATGGCTAATTTTTTTCGAGTATTGAGTTTTTTTTTTTTTTTTACCAGTTGATGGGAGAGAGAGATGAAGATGACAAGGGGGCGTTTGACATTCCTATCTTTACTGAGGAATTCTTAGACCACAATAAAGGTAGGGTTAGTTTTGTTACCATATAATCCCTATTAAATGCTCCTGCCCCTATAAGCGCCCCCCTTGGTCTTTCTCAATTGTCACAGAGCTATTTACTCTTACTATTTCTCCGTATTTTTTTAATCCAAAATACGTCTCATGTTTTGCCATTATGAAAATACAGAAATATGTTTTTTTGGAATTTAACAGTTAGGTTTCATTATGATCTGCTGAAACATGACTGAAAAAATGTTTGCATAATCAAAAAAGCAGTTTTTCTCTAATTATATACACAAAATCAATGGAAAGTGAAATCTCACTAGCAAATTTTAAATCTCACAGACAAATCTGATCAAAAGTACTGAGAGATGACAAAAAAGGTAAATCTGATCAAAAGTACTGAGAGATGACAATAAAGGTAAATCTGATCAAAAGTACTGAGAGATGACAAAAAAGGTAAATCTGATCAAAAGTACTGAGAGATGACAAAAAGGTAAATCTGATCAAAAGTACTGAGAGATGACAAAAAAGGTAAATCTGATCAAAAGTACTTGACAAAAAAGGTAAATCTGATCAAAAGTACTGAGAGATGACAATAAAGGTAAATCTGATCAAAAGTACTGAGAGATGACAAAAAAGGTAAATCTGATCAAAAGTACTGAGAGATGACAAAAAGGTAAATCTGATCAAAAGTACTGAGAGATGACAATAAAGGTAAATCTGATCAAAAGTACTGAGAGATGACAAAAAAGGTAAATCTGATCAAAAGTACTGAGAGATGACAAAAAAGGTAAATCTGATCAAAAGTACTGAGAGATGACAATAAAGGTAAATCTGATCAAAAGTACTGAGAGATGACAAAAAAAAGGGGTCTGTTGTCAAGAAATAAGGGCCCCCTGTACAGTGATTAAAATAATTTAGAATCGTTTCAAAAGTCTGCCAAAATTTGAAGAAAGTGATAATTAAACTTGTCTGTTATCCAATTTCTTGTTGGATAATGAATCAGTTAGCATAATCAGGGTGGATTATCTTCACTTAAAGCTAAGTTAATCATTATTTTAGTGGTTCTTTGAATTTATCTTTTTTCAAATCAAATATCATACAGAGAATCCATCTCATCATTATTTTTTCTCCGAGAGGAGAGAAACTTATTATTTGGTGATTTCATTTCAGTGAGAGACGGAGAGCTATTGACATCTGGGGGGGTTTTCCGGAAGAGATGGGCATTTATTGTTATTTTTTTTTTTAGAGATGGAGAGCTGTTGTTTTTAATTTTTTTTTTCAGTGAGAGAAAGGAATCCACTGTTATTTTATTTTTTTTATTGGGGGGGGGGGTGTCTGTGAGAGAAAGGAAAATGTTGATATTTCGGTTTAATCCTCTTTGTTTTCAGTGAGAGGAGGGGAGCTGTTGTTATTTGGTTATTTTATTTCAGTGAGAGGAGGGGAGCTGTTGTTATTTGGTTATTTTATTTCAGTGAGAGAGGGAGAGCTGTTGTTATTTGGTTATTTTATTTCAGTGAGAGAGGGAGAGCTGTTGTTATTTGGTTATTTTATTTCAGTGAGAGGAGGGGAGCTGTTGTTATTTGGTTATTTTATTTCAGTGAGAGAGGGAGAGCTGTTTGTTTATTATTTTGTTTTTCAGTGAGAGAGGGAGAGCTGTTGTCATTTTGATTTAATGCTTTTTGTTATTTCAGTGAGAGGAAGGGAGCTGTTGTTATTTCGTTACTTTTTGTTTTCAGTGAGAGAGGGAGAGCTGAGACAGATGAGAAAACAGACCACAGAGTTAGAAGAACAAAACGCCATCCTGAGTAAACACATAGAAAGTATGAAACACGCCATAGAGAAGTTAGAGATAGAGGCAGTACAACAACGCAGTACCAACATGGCACTACAGGGTCATCTTGATACCCTGAGAGTGACTCTAACTAACAGCTTTAGTACTGTACCATTACCAGGTAATTAATAGCTGCAATAATGTAGCCCTCTCCGATTTTTTTTATCTGATATTTTCTGGAGAGGGCTACAATTCCATCGCATCTCCATAATGGTGCAAATATATTTTTTTGATTTGGGTGATTGGAGGCAAAATAAATTATTTTTACATTAAACTTACTTCTTATAAGACAGAATTTTTATTCACTGTCAACAACATAGCCTGTTAAACTTGAAAACAATGTAAAATAAATCTGTGTCTTTCCCAGCTGCAATATTCAGCAGCCATGACCAGTTTCCGCGTGACGTAGTGAGACTTTTGCTTGAAATTTGGAACAACAAAATGAAGCTAATGTCGAAGTTTATAAACGCATTAGCTACAATAAATTACAAAAAACAACCATAGATAAAACCATTTCAAGTGTTATTTTTGCGCAAACAGCGATACATATGCTTAGAATAAGGGAATTCCTAGTAATCTGCTCCTGTAGAACCTAAACTCTCATTGGCTGTCCCAAAATACAATCCAATAAGGTCTGTAAACATGGCGGATAAATTCAGGTTAGGTTGTTGACACACACAAAAAATAACAGATATATGGGTCGTTGTGAATATTTCTGGATTGATTTATGTTTTGCATAATTACATATTTGGATTCCAGGTAAGTGATAATAATAAAATAGCCGTTTACTGATAATTTGAGCCGAAATCCGTGCAGGAATGATCCACTGCCGCATCTGCTCCATTATAGAGACCCTAAAGAGTTGTAGCCCTCCCCCCCCCCAAAAAAAAAAAATTGAAGAGGGCTACATTATTGCAGCTAGGTAATTAAAAACTCAGTACTGTATCATTATTTAGACACATAGAAAGCATGAATATACCATATAATCCCTATTTACCACCCCTACCCCTGTAAGCACCCCCTGAAGTCTTTTTCAATTGTCAGGAAATAAGGGCCCCCTGTTAGTGACTAAAATCAACTAGAATTGTATCAAAAAAATGAAGAAAGTTAAATGAAATTTGTCTATCATTCAGTTTCGCAGTGGAAAATGAACGATTTAGCATAATTTGGGTGGATTATCTTCACGTTAAGTAAAGTTAGACATTATCTTAGTTGTTTCTTGTATTTTCTTTAAATTTTCAAACAATTTTCTGAAGCTAAAATATGACATTAAATATCATAAAGAAAACACCAAAATAACCGCCCCCTTTTTGCAATTTTCTAAGCGGCTGGGGCGGTTAATAGGGATTATACGGTATCCAAAAATTACTTGACCATAAAAGCTAAAATTGATGTTGAAGCTACTGAAGGTAATATAGTTTCTAAATTGTTCAAATCTTGACACTGGAGGTAGGGTTTGGTCACAAAAAAAAACTACAGGGGAGAAATCTGGTGAAAAGTACCATGGCAAAAACAAAATGACTGTTGTTGCCAAGGGTCTCAGGTTTAGTTTTATCAAATATCTGTACTGTGTTAAATGTTCATGTTGCATTTTTTGTCGGTCAGTCCAGTTTTAATTGTAAAATATCAGCTGTTTTATTTTCTAGGAACAAATGAATGCCCCTCGCTGGACACAATAGACAACTACATGGCAAAGCTACACAACCTGATCTTGGATTCTCCACAGGAACACGAGGGACTGATATCTATGGTGAGGGATGTTATAGGGAGGCTAAATATAGACGGGTAAGTCACATATCAGCTAAGTATAGACGAGTAAGTCACATGTCAGCTAATTATAGACGGGTAAGTCACATGTCAGCTAAATATAGATGGGTACATGTAAGTCACATGTCAGCTAAATATAGATGGGTAATTTGCATGTCAGCTAAATATAGATGGGTAAGTCACATGTCAGCTAAATATAGATGGGTATTTTAAAGTCACATGTCAACTAATTATAGATGGGTAAGTCAGATGTCAGCTAATTATAGAAGGGTAAGTCACATGTCAGCTAATCATAGATGGGTAAGTCACATTAATAGGTTATTATCATTATGAGTAATGTGAGCAAAATATTGTTAAATGAATAATGAAAATTATGGAATTATTTTGTCATTTTATTAAAAAAAATTTTTTTTGGCAAAATTTGGTTAAAATCTTAGAAAATTAACTTTTATGTTTCTTAATTCTTACATTTGTGAACTCACATCATTACTTTTAGTAAAAATAGTTCTTATCATTTTTAATCCAATATCCTTAATCAAAGGTTGCAAAAAGTGGAGTTTTTTTTTTCAACTGTTGGGTTCAGTAAATGTTTTTAGTGTTTTCAATAAATGTTTTTGGTGACTTGTAATAAAATATATTGATAGCATTTTTCTTTGAATTCTATTTCTTGTATTAAAATCAGTTTTACTCAATTTCAGAGACAAGATCTGATGTTAACAAATCATGGGAGTGAGAATGTTTATCCACCAGGCAGATACAAGGCATCAAGACCTTTGTGATGATCATAATGATAAAGAGCAATTGTGAATAATTATACAAACAGAAATACCTTGCATGCATTGGAAATACCTTGTATTTTAATCTGTCTATACAGACACTTTGCCAAGAGATTATAATATCTATCCCCTGCCTTGAAAGTTGTAAGCTCCGTAGCTCTGTTATTACATTTTTGGTTTGTGTAAGAAAATATGATTCAGAATTACACTTAATGAAAGATTAAAATAATAAGTGAATAAAATTTAAACCCAGGAATCGAATTTTGCTATATAGATATAAATTGAATACATATACCGTATAATCCCTATTAACCGGCTCGGCTGCTTAGAAAATTGCGAAAAGAGGGCTGTTGTTTTGGTATTCTCTTTATGATATTTAATGAAATATTTTAACTTTAAAAAATCTTTTGAAAAAAAAAATATGAATAAAAAGAACCACTAAAATAATTTCTAGCTTTTCTTAATTAAAGTGAGGATTATCCACCCAAATTAGGCTAATTCAGTCATTTTCCATTGAGAAATCGGATAAAAGACAAGATTTATTTTCACTTGATCCAATTTTTTTTTATACGATTCTAGTTGATTTTAATAACCGTTATTTCCTGACAATTCAAAAATATCTAAGTGGGCGCTTATAGGGGCAGAGGCGGTTAATAGGGATTATATGGTATTTAAATGAAAGTTGAAGAATGATGTTTTTAAACTACATTTGTAACATATTTACTCTGATTAGAAGTTGCACATGTGTTTTGATCTGGATGTCTATACCATCTGTATGACTGTCCGTCTGCCTGCTCCGCTTTTGGGTATCCATCTTTGAATCTAGCTTGTTAGCTCTTCTGAGCCAAAGGCTCAAAGAGCTAATGCTATGGCCATTTGTGTGGTGTGCAATAACTTTTTAGAATATGGGCCATAACTCAAAAACCCTTTGGCCAATCAGTCTCAAATTTGTCACAGGATATCCTTGGTCCAAGGGCTACCATTTATAGTAAAATAAGGGTTGGGACCCTAAAACCAGGGGAGATAATCAGAAAAACAAAACCATAAAAACTGGTTGCTAAAAAATCTTCTTCTCCAGAACCACCAGGCAGATTTTCACCAACTTAAAAGGATTAGGATATGTCGAAGATTAAAAATTGCAGAGGGAATTACCCTGGGGCTTAGGGCGTGGTCTCAAGGTCACTTCAAAGTTGACCTAATTAATATACAATTAATAAAAATGTTTATATTTTGCTCACTTTAAGGACTACGATCATCAAATCTTGTAAGTTGATGCATCTTGGGACTTTACATCATGGAAAACAAAAGTACGTCACGGTGACCTACTTTTAACTTTTGGGGGCATTTGTTTTCATTGAAGGCTTATTTTGGACACTTTAAGGCCTATGACCATCAAACTTTGTCAGTTAATGCATCTTGGGTCAACTGAAAAGAAGGTCAGTGTGACCTACTTTTTGAACTTTATGACTAATCTTTTTTAAAACATTTAATCCCATTATTTCAGACACTGAGAGGTTTAGAATCATCAAATCTTGTAAGTTGATGAATCTTGGGACTTTAAAACATATTCATGAAAAAGTTAGTCACTGTGACCTACTTTTTAAATTTTGCAGGCATTTGTTTTCAAATTGAATTAAAGGCATATTTTGGAAATTTTAAGGCCTATGATCATCAAACTTAGTCAGTTGAAGCATCTTGTGTCTTTGAACAATGTCAAAAAATTTAATCTCAAAAGTAGGTTACCTTGACCTACCTTTTGAACTTTGCAGACCTTTGTTTTCTAATTGTTTAATAGGCATATATTTTGATTACATTCAGACCTATGATCATCAAACTTAGTCAGTTGATGCATCTCGTGACTTCAAAAAACGTTGACCAAAATATAGGTCGTGATGGCCTACTTTTGACGTTTTATGGCTATATTTAAGTATCTTGGATAATTATTGGCTTAGAATCATCATCTTTGTGAGTTTACGCATCTTGGTTTTCGGGGAGTGACGACCAAAAAGTAGGTCACGATGACCTACTTTTGACAATTTATGGCTTTATTTGAATATCTCACGTACATATTGGCTTAGAATCATGAAACTTTGCACCATGTTTGGTTAAAATTGTTGGCCTATAATGGTTCTGGAGAAGAAGCTGAAAATGTGGAATGTTTACAGACGGACAACAGGTGATCACAAAAGCTCATTGGAGCTCTCAGCTCAGGTGAGCTAAAGGGCTTACTAGAACTGAGATGAGTAAAAAAACTAAGATAACTGAACAATTTATTATTTATTTAAGGAGACAAAAAAATGTCTACATTGTTTTTGTGGTGCATTTTATATGGAGGTGAGTACATGAAATAAAAAGAAAACATTATCATGATTGATTACAAGTTGTAACTCGAATGAAATGAACACCTTTCATTAATAAAACCAGAATCAACATTATCTCACATAAAAAAAAAAAAATAAAAATTACAATCTGTACTTAAAATTTGAATAACATTGGTCTCGATATTTATTAAACACATCCTCAAGAAAACAAACTAATTTATCTAGAGAAAATGTTCCAACATTACGGAGGTGAAGATGAATCATGCTTGATAACAACTTGTCAATACAAAAGTGAGACAAAAAATTATCATAGCAAAATCTTTTATACATTGATGCAATTAACAATGAATAACATAAACGTTTATTTTAAACGTAATGCCTTCAACTCTTCTATCATTAAATTAATGAATAAGCCATTAAAATGGAGTTCAAAGTAAAGTTTAAAAATTAAGCAAATAACTAAAAAAAGTTCCTGGTGCATTGATATTCACAGTCTCGTTATTGTCAATGTAAATACAACATGCTTAATAATCAACATGCACATTACATGATGTGTTTAACAACATACATCATACAATGAAGAATGAACATATTCTACCTAAAGCAATGAACACATTTGGTTGTCAACTGTATGATTAAAAAAAGTAAAATTACCTAGAAACTTAGTTGTATAAGGAATTTCCAATGAATTGATGAATTTAACATATTTTATTATTGACAAAGTAAAAAAAATCGGACACAAGATCAGTAACTTAGATAGTGCTCTTCTAATATAAAATTGCTAAAAAAAAAACATATATACACATGGTCTACTACATAATTGCATACATCGTAGCAAAAGAAAGGAACAAATAAATAAATTCGTTAATTGTACAAATATAATTTTAGATAGTAAGAGAAAAAAAGTAAACTTATTTTAAAAAGAAACGACCACATTAATTTCATTAAGTAAGTTTGGATAGTCTTGAAAAGTTCGGCATATTGATCAATAGTAAGAGAACCATAGCCCCATAGCATTAAATGTACATCCATAACATGTAAATAATTAAATGATAATAGTTTATTCATTAGGGAAGTTCTTGCTTTTACACCATATTTACAAACAAAAAAACAAATGATATGCGTCTTCTAGAAGTCCACAATAACAGTTAGGGCTGATTAATATGTTACAGCGATATAAGTCAGAATTCAAAATATAATGAATTGATGCTATCATACATAAAGATTAAGTCATACCTAAAAAAAATTGTTTTGTTGCCTTCTCCCTATCGACTGATTAAAAATCTCTTGACCCAAAACTTTTTTATATTCCAGGACACGATACTTTTCTTTTTATTCCTCTTATTTGGTCTAAAAAATATGTTGAAATTTTCTGGAAAGAAATATTTTACCACCTACCTACCAACCTAATAATTTTACACAGAGTAAGGTGAGGACAACTAGTCAGTATTTCAAAGATGGCATAAGAACCTTCTTATGCTTTGAAAAGAAAAAAAAATCATTATGCTTGTTAGGATGAACACCGATATTCATGTCCCGTAATGTAACAAATATTCACATCCTGGAATGCAAGAAATATACACATTCTAGTGTTACATTATTTTTATGTACACCATATTGTTGAGATATAAATGATGTAAAATGTACTTTTTCAAACAGAGTATCGTCTTACATGTTTCTTCAATACACCCAACACCTTTTCGCACCCAGGTACATGTACATTTATGAGTCTCCGTGTCCTCTCAAGAAGAGACAAGCCGTTTTTGTCTACTACAGACCTCGTATCAACTAAGATTGGGTTACTGATATACATGCCTTTATAAATGGAGTTTTTTCTTCTTAAACGCTCTTGATACATCCTGTAATTCACATTGACATCCGCTCCCGCCTCCACAAGGATCCTCACCTTCTCTGCTAGATCCTCTACATCTGTAGACATCAATCCCTCATCAATCAGTGTAAACAGAAGAGGTCTCATATCATAACCCAAATTATACACCTTTCTCCACTGGTTGACATCCGGTTTCTTAACAAGAGAAAAACAATCATACTTCTCTATCCACTGGTTAACATCCAGACCCAGTTTTAGCAGACGTTTCAGTACAACACTTTTGCTTCTTAAGATAGCTTCAAACTTATATCCCAAATTAAACACATCCATCACTCCTCCTTCCTTAACCACCACATCATCCTTGCTGTCTAACATCACCGTTCTTTGACTTATGACTCTTAAGCAGTCAAACAAATGCAACTTCAGACTATATGACTGAGCGTTACTTTCACTGTTACATAATTGATTTATAACTTCAATTTTTTTCCTGATCAATGCAATACAAATTGATGAAAACCCTTCTGTATCATGGACAGTTGGGTCTGCACCATAACCATTGACCATCAGTTTAACAGGTTCCTGAGTCTCAGTACTATATAAAAGTATATTATGTAGAGGTGTTCTCCCTTCCCAGTCCTGTATATTAACATCGGCCCCTGCGTCTAGCAGCTTCTCTATTATACTCATGTGTCCACGCTCACAAGCCTTTAACAGTGGTGTGTAACCTTGACTTTCTTCGCTCTTTAGATTGACATCGGCCCCTTTGTCTAGTAGCTGTTGTACTATGCGTATATTTCCATGCATGCATGCTATTATTAAGGGCGTTGTGTCAAACCTTCTAAGATTGACATCAGCCCCTGCCTCTAGCAAATCTGTTACAATACTCGATTGATCACTCTCACATGCGGCTTCAAGTGGTGTTTTGTAATCATGCATTTCAGAAGGAACTGGAGGGTTGACTTTGGCACCCGACTTTATCAGATCCTGTACTATACTTGCATGTCCCTTTCTACATGCTAATGAGAGCGGTGTATGAATTCCTACATTTTTATTCACATTAGCCTTTGCCTTTATCAGTTCCTTAACAACACTTTTATATCCACATCCACATGCTGCCATCAGTGGTGTAATATCAAATGTTCCATAAGCACGCTTTAACAGCTCCTTATCCATTCTTACATGTCCACCCTGACAAGCTCCCCTAAATGAAGAGCTGTAAACCATGTTAAGAGTGTCATTATTGATATACCTCAACAATATTTTTACAGTCTCTAAATCACCACTGTAGCAGCCCAGTAAAATTAGAAGGTATTCTTCGGGAATTTCAGTCTCTGTGATGTTCCTAAACAAAACAGGCCCTGTTTCTTTCTTTTCAGTTCGTTTCAAAATATATTGTAAAATCTTATTGTGTCCATAATAAATCACCCAACAGATAACTCTCAAAGTGTATTTCAGTCCATACACTTCCCTTTCCTTATTCTCCAGTTTTTCTTTTCTGTCCTCCATCATGTCCATAATAAATGTAGGTAATATTTCCAACCATGGCAGCAACCACCGTTTAACATTACTCACCTCACGCTCTGACAGAAATAACGACTCCAACTCTGTATCAGACTTTGTCTTTAAAACATCCTCAAAAGCCTGATAAACCTTAGGCTCCTTCAAAACATTGTTCATAAAAACATCATACAGTTCCATATTTTCTATATCTCTGTACAACCGCTTTGCTAGCATTGGGTAGTATTTCTCTTCAAGTCTGATAGAGAGATCATATGACTTTACTCCAACATTCTTTTCTTGACTGACTGCAATATTGTTTTCCCCTTGTTTAAATTCTCCACTGCCGACTACATTTTCACCCATTTGTTTATTGTCCAATATCTGTATTAGAGGTTCCTTAACTTTTACATTGTTAGCAATATAATAGCTACTCATAAACTTTAAGATGAGTTCCGGAAAGTGGGAACCAAAATGATGAGCAACAATTTCGAACATGGAATCATGAACAAAACTATACTCATTACCATTGAGTTTTGTGTATGTGCCCTCCATTTCATGCATTGCATCAACAAAGTGGAAATTATTAGTATGACTGCTGACCTTGCATTTCTTCAGAACGATTTGTTTCATTTCACAAAAGTCTGGAATAGCCGATTCTTTCTCTGCTTCATAAATGATTCCCTCCGATAATTTGTTATTGTTCATCATACATAAGACCAAAGAAACATAATGGATTTTGTTTTGTCTTTTCATTTCTTCAAGTTCCTTCAAAATGCATGGAACTGGATTTTCAAAAAATGCAGGACCATATGATTGGAATTTTTTTTCTGATGAAAACATTTTGCAAAGATATGGAAACATTTTTGATGCTGATGTCAAACAAGCAGGAGACAACAGATCTACATCTATTTTGTACATTTTCAATATACATTTTTTGTCTATATTCGTTAAAGCATTAAAATCATCATGCAACAAAACAATATTTTTTTCATCTGTAAAAAATGAACTGGACTCTAATGATTCTCTATACACCGCCTCTCTACACGTCATGAGAGTTTTTGACTTTGGCATTATAGGCTTCATAATTCTATCTTCATACTTCATCAAATGATTTAGTTCCGTGTTTTGAAGCCCGAATACACCTACCACATCATCAATAACAAAAACCTGTGGATTTTTAGGATCACAATAGTCCTCTATCTTTCTGATCTCTTTGACTGGTACAATCTCATATCCTTCCTGTTGTAACATAAGGGCGATGTGACGAGCTGTTGCTGTTTTCCCAGATCCTGAGACACCAACAAACGTCACATGGGCCTGATTCTTCACTTTTTCTAGCATTGACGAAAAATTGTGAGATTCATGGAAAACTCTGTCATCTTCTTTCCATTGTAAAATATCTTTCTCGTGAATAACTGCAATTAGAAAATTGAATAAACCGTGTGGCAATCTTTTAAATAATGTTTCCTTGCTCCCTCCCAACTCAAATTTAAAAACAAAAATCCGTTAGTATGTAGGTGGGAAAATATTTTTTTCTCAATATTTTTTAACATCTATGTAGATGGAATGGGAACTTTTAGAAATATTAAATAAAATATCTTCAGTTGATTCCTGGAGGTTTATAAAAAGATTGACTTGGGCCATTTTAAGCCAGTCAGGAGCAACCAAACATTTTTTTAAAGAAGTTAGAAGGCCTGGTATTTAATACCTTCTATATGCATGATATATACTAGGGATGATCAAATCATTCGCAAACTATCTCTATATCTAAACCAGAAGTCTCTGTTGAGACTGTAGCTCTACTGGTTTGTGCTTATAACAAAGGATGAGAAAAGAAGCCATTGCTATTAGACCAAAACTGTAGAGGGAGTAGCGTTTTAAAGGAATTTCACACATTTCTATTTTTAGTAACAATGGCAACACTTTCATCAAAATCAAAAACCGATGAACTACTCTATATATAGTCTACTTGTGTGCCAAGTTATATTGCAATCAGACCAAAACTGTAGGAGGAGTAGCGTTTTAAAGGAATTTCACAGGAAATCCTTTTTTAAGTAACCATGGCAACACCGTTCATCGAAATCAAAATCTGATGCACTATTCTATGTATAATAGTGTAGACTACTCGTGTGACAAGTAATATTGAAATCAGATCAAAATTGTAGGAGGAGTCGAGTTTTAAAGGAATTTCACAGAAAATTCTATTTATATTAACCATGACAACACCATTCATTGAAATCAACCAGAAGTCTCTGTCGAGACTATAGCTCTACTGGTTTGTACTTATCAAAAACCATTGCACTATTTTATGTATCTTTGTGTAGTCTACTTGTGTGCCAACTTATTTTGAAATCAGAGAAAAACTGTAGGAGGAGTAGCGTTTTAAAGGAATTTCACATAAAATTCTATTTTTAGTAACCATGGCAACACCGTTCATCTAAATCAAAAACCGATGCACTATTCTATGTATCTTAGTGTAGTCTACTTGTGTGCCAAGTTATACTGAAATCAGACAAAAACTGTAGAAGGAGCAGCGTTTTTAAGGAATTTTACACAAAATTCTATTTTTAGTAACCATGGTAACACCGTTCATTGAAATCAAAAACCAATGCTCTATTCTATGTATGTTAGTGTAGTCTACTTGTCTGCCAAGTTATATTGAAATCAGACAAAAACTGTAGAAGGAGTAGTGTTTTAAAGGAATTTCACAGAAAATTCTATTTTTAGTAACCATGGCAACACCGTTCATCCAAATCAAAAAACGATGCACTATTTTCTATGTATCTTTGTGTAGTCTACTTGTGTGCCAAGTTATATTGAAATCAGACCAAAACTGTAGAAGGCGTAGCGTTTTAAGAAATTTCACAGAAAATTCTATTTTTAGTAACCATGGCAACACCGTTCATCCAAATCAAAAACTGATGCACCATTCTATGTATTTAAGTGTAGTCTACTTGTGTGCCAAGTTATACTGAAATCAAACTAAAATTGTAGGAGGAGTAGCGTTTTGAAAAATTGTTTACAGACGGACAGACAGACAGACAGACGGACGGACGCCGGACGCATTACTATCGCATAAGCTCTTCTGGTCTCTGACCAGTAGAGCTAAAAATGGATGCATTATTTTATGTATCTTTATGTAGTCTACTTTTCGTAGGAGGAGTAATGTTTTAAAGGAATTTCACAAAAAAATTCTATTTTTAGTAACCATTACAACGTCGTTCATTGAAATCAAAATCCAATGCACTATTTTATGTATCTTTGTGTAGTCTACTTTTGTGCCAAGTTATATCGAAATCAGACCAAAACTGTAGGAGGAGTAGCATTTTAAAGGAATTTCACAGGAAATTCTTTTTTTAGTAACCATGGCAACACTGTTCATCAAAATCAAAAACCAATGCACTATTTTATGTATCTTTGTGTAGTCTACTTGTGTGCCACGTTATATTGAAATCAGATCAAAATTGTAGAAGGAGTAGCGTTTTAAAGGAATTTCACAGAAAATTTTATTTTTAGTAACCATGGCAACACCGTTCATCAAAATCAAAAACCATTGCACTATTTTATGTATCTTTGTGTAGTCTACTTGTGTGCCAAGTTATATTAAAATCAGACCAAAACTGTAAGAGGAGTAGCGTTTTGAAAAATTGTTTACAGACAGACGGACAGACAGACGGACGACGGACGCATTACTATCGCATAAGCTGTTCTGGTCTCTGACCAGTAGAGCTAAAAACCACAATTCATATTAGAAAACAATTTGGTACACACATAGCAATACACAAGTTCTATAAATAGTATATGCTGAATAAAGTTTTGATCCTTGTTTGTGACGTCACAATGTCTCAGTCGTACTCGTTTAAAAAGCGACTGTAAAATTTCTTGTATATCTTATACATAGGTAATCAGAGATACAGAGCTCACCTCAATGGTTGTTTCTTTAACGAAGGCAAATTTCACAATTACCCAACAAAAAGTGTACATTCAAAATTGCAAAATTTATGCAATTTTGATCTGATACTTTGGAATAGACCTATATAAATACTTCAAACTAATTCTTCATCACAAAAATGTAATTAAAATCCAGCATCTGAAGCAAGTTAGAGAGTTCCTTGATGCATCATTTGGGCAAGTTTGGTTTATATAAGCCTTAGGTAGTTTCTTGGTAATAGAACTGCATCCATAACTTTTACCTGGTCCATTATCTGGAAGATGTATGTTGCATTAAGCATCCAGACCAAATCCATTAGTGTGCATCCTAAGATGTATCATCCATGCACATTTGCACAACATAGGGCTGATAGTTACTCAGAAATGGGTCAGATTCAGCATCTGAAGCAAGCCTGGTAGAATGCAACCTTAGATGTATCATCCGTGCAAGTTTGGTCAATATAGGGCTCATAGTATCTTGGAAATGAAACCTGCACCAAAAACTTTAACCTGTTCACTCAACCGGAAAATGTAGGTCACATTCAGCATCCAAAGCACGTCTAGTAGTATGCATCCTAAGATGTACCATCCATGCAAGTTTGGTCATTATTGGGCACATAGGATCTTGGAAATGAAACCTGCACCAAAAATTTAACCTGTTCACTCAACCGGAAAATGTAGGTCAGTTTCAGATTCCGAAGCAAGTCTGGTAGTGTACATTCTAAGATGTATCATCCATGCAAGTTTGGTCAACATAGGGCTTATAGTTACTTGGAAATGAGACCTGCACCAAAAACATTAACCTGTTCACTCAATCGTAAAATGTAGGTCAGAATCAGCATATGAAGTAAACCTGGTAAAGTGCATCCTTAGATATATCATCTGTGCAAGTTTGGTCAACATAGGGCCTATAGTTACTGAGCAATGAGACCTACATGTACACCAAAAACTGCACCAAAAATGTTTAACTGCTCCAAAAACATTTACCAGGTCATTCCTTCGCTGAAATTTAATACAGCATCTGAAACTTTGACTGGTACAATGAAACACACTAGGAGCATCTTCCATGCATGTCTAATCAATATAGCATGAAGAAGTACTTAAAAAGAAAACTGCTCCAAAAACCTTAACCTTAACCAGGGACGCCGACACTGAGGGTATTACATAAGCTCCCCCAACTTCGTTGAGGTGAGCTAAAAATCCCTTGAAAGAAACGCATAATAATTTGCACACAGTTTATAAAGACATATAACTTCCTATAAATTTAATCAATTATTGGATTGGTGGTTTTTGTGAAGGAAGGAAGATGGTTAAAAATGATACTTGTTATGTTGCCCAGTGATAGCAAGTTTAAAAGGAGGTGTGTTTTTAATTAAGTAACTTGCTATCAAAGACATCTAATTAACAATATTTAAAATAGTTGAATATTTTAACAATAACATAATAATTAAATACCTAAGATACCATTTACTTTAGATTTAAAACATATTAGATATGAAAAGAAGGCACCCATTCTCTATCAACCCTGAATCAACGTCTCTTCCGAGACAGAGGATTTGGGTTTTTTTGGTGGCCATGCTTATTTTGGGAAATGATATTCTTATCCACCCATTCTGCTGCCGAGATTTGACCATTCCTGACAATTAAACTGTTTATGTTATAAAAATTAACTTACATGGAAAGAAATATTAAACTCAGATAAATCTTTCAGCTTTTGTGACAGAGCGCTACGGAGGGGGTCACATGACCGCCTATATCACGCGATTCGTGCATGCGCAGAATGGTGACAGATGTGCATGAAAATCAGTGACGATTAATTGAAAATATAGTCAACACTGAAACCAAATTTGATTTTTGTTATTGAAGTTATTCAATTAGTTCTCGAACTTTTTGATCACCCCTCGTTTATATTATGACTTCAATTTCATGAACAGCTGCAGAAAGAAGAGAATGTAATTCGTAAGTTGAACGTCCGTAACAAATCAGTTGGCAGAGGCACAGTCAAAGCAACTTCTAGTATTCTAAATTAAACAGCATAAATGCTGAAGTTATTGTAAAAACAAGTTTACAGATGTAATTCCATGAAGTATAATTATAAAACTGCTGCCGTTTGTTTCAATTTTGGGGTTCTAAAGAAAACCTTTGCCTTGCTGTTCTTGAACAGATTTTTCCAAATGACATACGTACCTTTTACATTTAGGGGGATAGCTGCATTCTCAAGCATTGATAAGCCATCTGAGAAAATAAAGAAAAGGACATAATACATTTTAATGATTGTTTTGACCCCTTATTTAAAATAAAAATCAAAGATTAGTTCAAAGAAGCAAAAAAGAATGTACGAAATTCGATAATGTATCAAAAATTTTTTTTTTTTTAATTTCCTCTTCCTATGGGACTTTTTCATTCTGATGTTTTGTGAACCTAAAAACATAGGTAATCAGAGATTACAGAGCTCACCTCACTGTCTTTAAGTAAGGCACAGTCACACAATTAACCAACAAAAAGTGTACATTCCAAAAATGAAAATATTTAAGCAATTTTGATCTGATACTTTGATATAGACATACATAAAAAATCTAATCTAGTTCTTCATGAAAATGTAATCACAATCCAGCATATGAAGCAAATTTGAGAGTTTTCATCTCTTGATGCAACATTTGTGCAAGTTTGGTTTATATAATGTTATATACGCCTGAAAGTTTTTTGGAAATAGACCTGTAATCATAACTTTTACCTGGTCTATTATCCAAAAAATGTATGTCGAATTCAGCATCCGAAGCAAGTCCATTAGTGTGCATCCTAAGATGTATCGTCCATGCAAGTTTGCTCATTATAGGGCTCATAGTTAATTGGAAATGAAACATGCATCAAAAACTTACATTTTCACTCATCCACAAAAAGTAGGTCAGATTCAGCATCCGGAGCAAACCTGGTAGTATGCATCCTTAGATGTATCATCCATGCAAGTTTGGTCATTATAGAACACATAGTTTCTTAAAAATGAAATCTGCACCAAAAACTTTAACCTGTTCACTAAACCAGAAAATGTAGGTCAGATTCAACATCTGAAGCAAGCCCTGTAGTGTGCATCCTTAGATGTATCATCCATGCAAGTTTGGTGAACATAGGGCTTAAAGTTACTTGCAAATGAAACCTGCACAAAAAACTTTAACCTGTTCACTCAACCGGAAAATATAGGTCAGATTCATCATCCCTAGCAAGCCCTGTAGTATGCATCCTTAGATGTATCATCCATGCAAGTTTGGTCAACATAGGGCTTATAGTTACTTGGAGTTAAAACCTGCACCAAAAAATTTAACCTATTCACTCAATCGGAAAAATGTAGGTCAGATTCAGTATCCTAAGCAAGCCTGGTAGTATCCATCCTTAGATGTCTCATCCATGCAAGTTTGGTCATCATAGGGCTTATAGGTACTTGGAAATGAAACCTGCACCAAAAACTTTAACCTGTTCACTCAACCGGAAAATGTAGGTCAGATTCAGCATCCAAAGCAAGCCTGGTAGTATCCATCCTTAGATGTATCATCCATGCAAGTTTGGTCCACATAGGACTTATAGATACTTGGAAATGAAACCTGCACCAAAAACTTTAGCCTGTTCACTCAACCGGAAAATGTAGGTCAGATTCAGCATCCGAAGCAAGCCCAGTAGTATGCATCCTTAGATGTATCATCCATGCAAGTTTGGTCAACATACGGCTTATAGTTACTGAGCAATGAGACCTACGCCAAAAACTGCACCAAAAATGTTTAACTGCTCCAAAAACATTAACTTGCTCATTCCTTTGCTGAAATTGCAGCATCTGAAACTTTGACTGGTACAATGAAACACACTAGAAGCATCTTCCATGCATGTCTAATCAATATAGGACATAGAAATACTTATAGAAAACTGCCCCAAAAAACTTAACTTTAACCTGGGACGCCGAGGCCGACACTGTTGAGGTGAGCTAAAAATGCTGGCCTAGTGGATGGGATGCCATTATTTATAGCATATTGTCTCAAATATCATTTAATCATGATTTTCCCAAAAATTTAATTTCTAAAAATAAAGTCAAACATTTAGGTCAAGAGGTCAAGTGGTCCAAAATCATATTAGTATGCTCTTGTCATAGGTAATGAACAAGTCTAAATATAATAGACCTAATTCTCTTCTCAATCAAAAGCTATGAGGAACAACAGACCCATGGGCCTTGTAGGTCACCTGAACATCATCTTTCCAATGATTGAGTTTGGTTCATGTTTCAAACTAGACACCATGGCATTCACAATTTTGAAAAAGGCACCACTGCTCATCATAACTAAACACTCAGCAACTGCTTAGCTTGGTTTTGTTAAAACAGATTCTGATTGTACACATAAGTACTCTGAAGTTGACATCAAGAAGATGCTTGAGTTTCTGATTGACAATATCTATGTGGTTTTTGGAGACCAGGTATTCCAACAATCTATTGGAATTCCCATGGGTACAAATTGTGCTCCGTTATTAGCAGACTTATTTTTATATTCATATGAAGCAGAATTTATGCAAAATCTTTTGCGTGAAAAGAAAAAAACACTTGCTGTGGCCTTCAACTCGACATTTTGATATATCGACGACGTATTGTCAATTAATAATGATAATTTCCATTCCTACGTCGACACGATATATCCTGGTGAGCTTGAGATAAAAGATACCACAGAGTCCAACACTTCTGCTTCATACTTGGATATTTTACTTGAAAAAGACACAAATGGTTATCTAACAACCAAGCTATATGATAAACGTGATGACTTTAACTTTTCTATCGTCAACTTCCCTTACTTATGCAGTAATATACCTTCATCACCTGCATACGGAGTATTTATATCTCAGTTGATTCGATACGCAAGAGCATGCTCTACGTATGAACAATTTCTTAAACGAGGCAAATTATTGACAAGCAAGTTGATGAAACAAGAATATCAACAGTCTCGTTTAAAGTCATCATTTCGTAAATTCTATGGTCGATACAATGACCTTGTCAGCAAATACAATTTATCATTGAATGAAATGCTGACTGACGTTTTTCATACCAATTGTTAGTCCATTATTTATACACTGAATTGACTACGGATTTTTTTTCCGTTATTTCCTGATTATGACAATGAGCACACGGCGGGTGTGACCGGTCAGCAGGGGATGCTCACTCCTCCATGGCACCTGATCCCACCTCTGATGTTTCGGAGGTCCGAGTTTGCTCTGCTCTTATTTTGTATATTTGTTTAATGGACGTTGAGATTGAATACTATTCGTTATTTCCATATCCTTATTGGTTACTTAATACCCATAGGCAGTGTAGAGGGAAAAATGCATTTCAACTATAAATTAGTAATATTCAGCAATAATCAGTAGTGGCATATACTACACCTGAACGTTTGACTCTAGGTCCACAGGAGCAGATTTCATACATTTTATTCATTTCAGTATATAAATAGAGCCCCCCCCCCTCCCCCGACTTCTGTGGTACCCCTGACCCAGGAGCCTTGAAATTCATATTTCTGGATGAAGGGCCCTTGCTTATTATAATATTTTAAAGGTAGTTCATCTGCTTAATGTAGAACCTACGTCGTATGACATCATAACTAGTGAATGTGTCTTATAAGCATGTGCTAGATCCATTATGACGTCATAATTAATTCAATGTCACTTTTTCCCGTAATTTACAGCTTCAATAGAAATGGTAGAAAATAATGCATTTTAAAATTCACAGAATTAAAATCATGCCAAAATAATCTAATTCAATTGATATATTTGTTTGGTTAAGATGCTTAATGACAATATATTTCTTGAATTAGAGAAACCTTTAGGCACCTTTCATTTAATAGATCTTGAACTTAATTAAGTTGACAGATCCAAGACTACAGTATGTGGCCATAAGTGAGTCATAATTGCATTTTTATGCTATATATTTCATTGAAAAACCAATTTTTATAAAAACTTGTGATGTCAATTTTAGCTCAATTTTTATGATTTTTTCACTGAATCATGAAGAATTATTCAAATTTTCTTGTCTTAAAATGACAAACAAAATGATACTCAAATCATTGAGAATATATTGTTAACTGTCAAGACAAAAATTTCTAACCTCAAATTACCAAGATTTCTTAACAAATTGAAGTCTTAAAATTTCTATTTTGCCCTTGACCTGTGATTTCACTGCAATTACTAAAGACAAAATTATTTTGAAACAAGAGGCCCAGGGGCCACAGCGCTCACCTGAGCACATCAGGCTTGAATTTACTCCCCTCCCCCTTCCAGGTGTTCAACATTTGAACAAACTAGAATCTACACTACCTGAGGATGATTCCATATAAATACCCCAGGTATCACTAATCATAGCTTTGAAGTACTTGAAAAGAAGATTTTAAAAGGTTTCCCTATATATCCCTATGTAAAACTTGGGTCGGCCATTTTGGCCCCACCCAATCCCCAGGGCCGGGGGTCATGATTTGAAAAACTTGAATCTACACTACCTGAGGATGATTCCACATGGGTTTCATCTTTCCTGTCCTAGTGGTTCTTGAGAAAAAGTTTTTTAAAGATTTTTCCTATATATTTTCTTATGTAAAACTTGGATCGGCCATTTTGGCCCCATCCTTGCCCCTGGGTCATGATTTGAACAAACTTGAATCTACACTACATAAGGATAATTCCACATGAGTTTCATCTTTCCTGGCCCAGTGGTTCTGGAGAAGAAGATTTTTTAAAAGATTTTTCCTATATATTCCTATGTAAAACTTGGGTCGGCCATTTTGGCCCCACCTTTGCCCCGGGGGTCATGATTTGAACAAACTTAAATCTTTACTACATGAGGATGATTCCACATGAATTTCATCTTTCCTGGCCCAGTGGTTCTGTAGAAGATTTTTAAAGATTTTTCCTATATATTCCTATGTAAAATTTGGGTCGGCCATTTTGGCCCCACCCTTGCCCCGGGGGTCATGATTTGAACAAACTTGAATCTACACTACCTGAGGATGCTTCCACATGAGTTTCATCTTTCCTGGCCCAGCGGTTCTGGAGAAGAAGATTTTTTAAAAATGCCATTAATTTTTAACAAATTCATGATTATCTTCCCTTGGAAAAGGGCTTGGTCCTTCATTTGAACAAACTTGAATCCCCTTTACCCAAGGATACTTTGTGCCAAGTTTGGTTGAAATTGACCCAGTGGTTCTTGAGAAGAAGATGAAAAT